AGCTGGGTGTGGTGGCTCACGCCTGTAATCTCAGCACTTGGGAAGCTGAGGCAGGACTATCGTTGCCTGTTCGAGACCAGACTGGGCTACCAAAGTGAGCTCAAAGCCAGCCTGAACTGCATAGCAAGACCCTGTCTCAAAAAAGACAAAAAAAAAAATTATCATGCTATGAGGTAATCAGGGAGTCCTTTTGGAGAAGAGGGAAAGTACTTGTTTGTTAACCTCTATTCTTTCCATCTCCAATCTAAGTTTGATGAGAAAAGGAAATTCTCTACCTTAAATCAAACCCACCATATTCTAATTTCTACTAATCTATCCAACAGACCAGAATATACTTATTTCCAAAGTAGCAAAAAAAGAAAGAATAAAATACGTGTGTGGCATGTAGATCTATAGACGTACATGATCAACCAAAAAAAAAAAAAGTACAGGATAGGATAGGATATAGTTAACTGAGGGCAGAAACCCTTAATGGAATTGGTACAACTGTTTATTTGGGTTTTATTGTCACTGTTTGTGGTACAGGGCCTCCAGTATGTTAAGCAAGCATTGTACGACTCAGCTACACCACACCTCCAGGCTTATACAACAATTTTAAATGTTTTGAAAACTTTATTGATACAACCCCGACCTTAGTTTTAGAACCCACAATTATATAGAACAATAGCTATTTGTAATGCTTAGTGTGACATGGTACTAAACTATCTGCTGTCCTTCCAAATACTTAAGTTTTTTTTGTTTTTTGTCTTTTTGAGACAGGATCTCACTACGCAGTTCAGACTGGCCTTAAACTCACTTTGTAGCTCAGGCTGGCATGAACTTGCAGTGATCTTCCTGCCTTAGCCTCCCAAGTGCTGGGATCACAGGTGTGCGCTACCTACAACACTTGAATTTTTAAATTACTTACTCATTCATATGCAATGGGAATGGATCCCAGGTGTACTCTACCACTAAGCCTGATCCTTGGTTCCCCAGGCTGGCCTACAACTTGCAGTCAGCCTGCCTCAGTCTCCTGAGTAACTGCAATTATAGACAATGAACTACCATGCCCAACAATAGCACAGCTTTTAAATTTTTCTGTAAATTAACACAGAACTGAGTTTATATTAAGTAACAAAAGTTTTGTGACTAAAACAAAACTGTTTTGGTTACTTCCTTGTTGCTGGGGCAAATATGTGACATCCACAATTTAAAGTTGGTGGTTTATTTTAACTTTTTCAGTCCACGGTTGACAGACTCAAACTCAGAAAAGGCCTGGCCAAGGGGAAAGCTGCTCACATCATGGAGGCCAGGAACCAAAGCATGAAGGGAAAAGCCAGAAAGGAAATGTACCTTCCTAGGTCACACCCAGTGACCCACCTCTCACCAGACCCCGCTCCTAATAGCATGTTCAGTAGCTCAATGCATTAGTAGAGGAATACACTGACCAGTACTGAGCCCCTGTGATCCAATCAACTTTAAGAGCCCCACCTCTGAACACAGGAGGTTTTTGGGGGGACATTCTAGATCAGAAGCATAATACTCTCTAAACCACTTTTTAGCTTTAAATTCTAAGTATATATTTCATTATTTCTGGATTACAATCTGGATTATAAATCTTGGCTGCAATTCAAAATGTCTTCAAATTATCTTTCACTTTCAAAAATAAAAATATTTAAAGATGGGCAGGATGGCACATACCTATAATCCTAACACTTGGGAGGCTGAGGCAGGAAGACTGGCCTGAGTTTGAGACCAGCTTAAGCTATACGTGGAAGCTGGGTGTGGTGGTGCACTCTTGTAATCCCAGTATTTGGGAGGTTGAGGCAGGAGGACTGTTACAAACTGGAGACTAGCCTGAGCTACAAAGTGAGCCTAAGATCAGTCTGACGTGCATAGAAGACACTGTTTCAAATAATAACAATAATAACAACAACTATACATGGAGATCCTGTCCCAAAACAAAGACAAAAACAGGCCAGCAATGGTGGTATGCAACTGTAATGCCAACACTAGGGAGGCTGAGGCAGGAGTATCACCATGAATTCGGGACTTGCCTAGGCTATATGGTGAGACCAGGTCTCAACAAACAAACATCATAAACAAGTTTTTTAGATCAAAATATATGGATTGCCACCACATCCAAAAATGTGAAATAAAGGGTGTGGTCAGGGCAAGAGGGTGGTGAGGAGTAAAAATGATCAGAGTATTGGGGCTGGGGATTTAGCTCAGCGGCATAAGTGCCTGCTTTGCAAGCAGGCAGTCGTGAGTTTGATCCCTGGTACCGATTAAAAAAAAAAAGTAACAATGATCAGAGTATCTTATGTGTGTATAAATCTACCAAAATGAAACCCACTAATCTACATAGCTAATTTAAAAAGTAAAAAATATTAATACAAACATTAGCACAAAATATCTGTTTGTTCAGCAGAGATTTGTTGTGTACCTATGTGTCCGTATTAATCTTGGAACTAGAATACAAATATGAAAAAAAAGACATAGTACCTGCATTCATGAAGTTTTCAGTAAAACCGGAGAGACAAAGCAAATAAATATATGGATAAATGTAACAGTGCAACTGTAATATGAAGACATGAAGTACCTAATAGGGAATCTAAGAGACTTCCAATGAGAATAGTGGCACACTGGCAATCCCAGCACTCAGGAGGCTAAGAGAAGAGGACTGTATAGGTTGAGGCCGGCCTGAATCACCTAGCAAGACTGTCTCAAAACCAAAACCAAAAACCAAAAACATCAAGTTCCAGAGAAGTGCAGGCAGAGCCTCAGGAAAGCCTGTAACCCTAAACTCTCAGGAAGCTGAGGCAGGAGGCTCACAATTCAAGGCCAGTCTGGGCAACTCAGCAAGACCTTGCCTAAAAAAACTACAAAGGAGAAAAATTTAAAAATAACGCAAAGGGCCAGGGGTTTAGCTCAGTGGCACAAGTGCCTGCCTGGCAAGCACAAGGTTGTGAGTTCAATCCGCGGTACCAAAACAAAAACAAAACTATGAAGGGCTAGCGACTATAAACTAATGGTACAGCATCACTGGATCGGTACAAAAAAAACAAAATAACAAATATTTTATAGTTATGTTGGGTTTTAAAAATATTTTTTACTTTTTAAATTAGCTACATAGGGGCTGGAGGTTTAGATCAGTGGCAAAAGCGCCTGCCTTGCAAGCAGGCAGTCGTGAGTTCGATCCCCGGTACCGATAAAAAGGAGAAAGACAAAAATAAATAAATAAATAAATTAGCTACATGGATTAGTGGGTTTCATTCTGGCAGATCTGTACATGCACATAAAATACTCTGATCATTTTTACTCTTCACCACCCTCTTGCCTTGACCACTTGTGTGTATGTGTGGCTGCTGAAAATTTTTAAACTGTATTAAAAATGTTTATTTTAAAAATTAAAGTCTGGGGCTGGGGATTTAGCTCAGCGGCATAAGTGCCTGCCTTGCAAGCAGGCAGTTGTGAGTTCAATCCCGAGTACCGATAAAAAGGAAAAAGACAAAAAAAAAAAAAAAAAAAAAAAAATTAAAGTCTGAACGTGTGCTCAGTGGGAAAAATGTATGCTTAGCACTCAGTGGGAAAAATGTATGCTTAGCTCTCAGTTCTGGGTTTTAACCCCATTCCCACATGAACACACACATCCTTGTATTACCAACGATACAGTAATATTTCAACTAAGTAGGAATTCCAAAATACAAGCAATCAAAATATACAGAACTTAGAAGAAATATACAATGGAAACAGCAGTAGAATGTTTGCATTAGGACATTCAAATTGGTTAAAATGTATCCTGGTTTTCATTTCCAAAAAGAACTCAGTCTAACCCAATGCTCACCCTAGACTTTGTTGTATGTCCATTTATACCTACTAATACTTTTGATATTCAACCCACTGCCAACTAGAACACGCACATGATAGTTATCTTTCCATTTTTCATACCATATTATTCGCTACTAGAATTCAAGGTTTCAATTTTTTTTTTTTTTTGGAAAACCTTTGTTTATAAGAGATGTCTTATTATTTGCAAAAATAAAGCAACAAATTGCAAAACTAAATTAATTTTGGAAACTATAGGAATACTTTAGAATAACGTTGTATACATTAATTAGTCACCAGGTTAAGTTCTAAGAGCAAAGGAGCAAAATCAGTCCCTAAAAATACATTTCAAGTTGTCCAAATAGAAACATCGTCAACTTTGTTGCTTCCTTCAACTCCCATCAAGTATGATTCCAACTCTGAAACACTTTAATCATTTCTTATAGGTCTACTCCCACTGTCACAGCCCTTAATGTAGCTGGACTCACTGCCTCTGGTACCTTACCGACCCAACCCATGACAACCAAAATGTCTCTGGCAATACCTCGGATATCTCCTGAGAATCCAAAGCCACCTACCTAACTGAGAACCGTTGCTTCAAAATTATCCCACAATAAGAATGACACTCATGGGCTGGGGATTTAGCTCAGCGGCATAAGCACCTGCCTTGCAAGCAGGTGGGGGTGAGTTCGATCCCCCGCAACGATTAAAAAAAAAAAGAATGACACTCATCTGTAAGGCTCTGGCTGCCCTTTCCGTCCATGCAAAGAAAAGTAAAAAACTGACCAACTAACACCTTTCACCTCACGGCCACCATGTTTAGGCTAAATTGAGGCCTCCTGAAAAGAGCCATACTGCTCTTTCTCAAACCTGAGAAATATTAAATAGAATATCCACGGAATATCCTATTAAATAGAATATCCACGGAAATTGAAAGCCTTTAAACACACGAATAAGGTTTTTTTTTAAATCATACTTTTTCAATTTCCCATAATAGTTCGTCCCTACAGGTTTTATTCATCTATGCATGAGAGGCAGAATACTTTTCAGAAGGGATAGGAGAAAAGACAAAACAAACATCTTTAAGAACTTCATAGGTGAAAGTAGAGTGAGGCCCAGGAGGGGAGTAATATCACAAAAGAAAGCATCTGAAAGACCTCCAGTGCAAACCGTGCCTCCAGACGCTTACTGACCTTCAATCGTTTGATCATTTCGTCGGTGGTGATCTTGTCGGTGATCTCCTTTACTCCGGGAGGGTAGGCAATCTTCCCGTCTGCACTCACGACGCCACAGAGGGCAGTGGCAGGCTTGGGCTGCGCGGTGAAGTCCATCCTGGGGGACAACTTTTCTTTCACAGTCCTCTACCGGCCTCTATCGGTCAGAAAACCAAAGTTCAGCGAGAAAGGGGCGACTTTGTAACCTTTTTTTTTTTTTTTTTTTTTAAATTTCAAAAAAAATTCTCTAATGTGCACAGGCCCTTTCTCCCCGGAGGTCGGGGCCGCGACGGCAGCCCGACCACCCTGCTCCTTTCTGGGGCTCGCACTCCTCCGTCGCCGCCCGCCCGCGCGCGCCCGCCCGGGGCCCGCGGGGCTCCCCAGCACCAGCCGCGGCGGCCGCGGGAGGCGCAGAGCGCGCCCGGAGTTTCCCAGTCCGCCTTTCACAATGAAATCCACCCTCCAGCACCCAGGTCCTAAGTCAGGCGGCATCGGAAGGCCTGCGAGAATCCCGAGGCCCCCACTGGGCCCCAGAGAACCACCGAGTCCCCACCTGGCCGGTCCCCTCCGGGAAAGGACACGCGAGGCCTAGAGGGCTCGGCTTAGGCCGCAAAACTAGGGACCCAGGCGGACCCCGCACAGCGGCGGCTCCAGGAACAAAACGCCCCGGCCGGGCCGCGATGCGGAGCCCGGCAGCTCCCGCCGTAAGCGCCCCTTCCCGGATCCCGCCGCCCGCGAGGGGAGAGTGAGCCGCCCGCACCCCCAGCCCCACGCCAGGAAGCGGCTGACGCGGCTCTGCACTTCACATTTTGTTCCATCAACTTCCACTGAAGGAGCGCGGCGGCTTCCCTGCCCGCGGCCGCCCGGTGCCGCGCCGAGGCCTGAGTGCTACCCTGGGCCGCCCCACCGGGCCTTGGGCAGCGCTGCCCCCGCCCCCACCCGCCGCCTTCCGTCCCCTCCCTGCGCCCGCTGAGGGCGGGAGCCGCCGCCGCCGCCGCCGCCGCCGCCGCCTTTACCTCCTCCTCATGCGGGCGGAAGGTGCATCGAGCGCCGGGCCTCTGTCAGGTGGTTGCGCCGCCGCCCCTCGTCGGGCTGCACACAAAGCGGCTCCGTGGGTCCCGCCGCCCGCCGCCCCGGAGCGGCGCTGGGGCTGGCGGTGCCGAGGAGGAGCCGCCGCCGCCGCCGCCGCCGCCGGCGCCGCGGGGGGAGACGCGGGGCGAGAGTGCGCTGGGCGGGGAGACACTGCCGCTCTCCGTCCGGCCGCGGAAGAGCAGCCTCGCCGCTGGCTCCTCCGGGCTGCGTGTGCGCGTGTGTCCGCCTGGGCCCCGCGCGGCCCTCCCGCGCCCGCCGACGCCGACCTGGCCCCGGCCCCGGCCCGGCCCCCCGTGCCCTCGGGAGCCGGCGCGTCGCGCACACACCGGCCGGTCACGCGAGCGGCGCGAGAGCACGCGAGAGCAGCGCGCGCCGCGCTCCCGCCCTCCCCTTCCTCCCCTTCCTCCGCCGGCTTCGCCTCCGCCTCCCTCCGGCCCGAGGCGGCCGCGCGCGGGGAGGACAGCGCCGCCACCCGGTTGGCGCCAAGACCTGCGGCGCGCGGCGCCAGCTGGAGGAGCCGAGCCCAGCGGGCGAGAGGAGGCGGAGCCCGGGCGGCGGGAAGCGCGCGCCCCTGTCCGGCCGCGCGGCGTCCTCAGGGCCCGCGAGAGCGCCGGGCAGTCCGAGGGTCGCCCGTGGGCGCCGACGCTTCGGGGCCGGAGCTGCGAAGCTGGGAAAAAGTTTCGTTCGCAACGTGGCCCAAACGTGGGCGGCTGAGTATATGTCTTCTGACCCCAAGTCTCAACCTCCAGCTTCGACTTCTTATGTTAATACTTTGCAAGCTGCAAAATAATAAAAACCGCAGAGACAGTTCTCAAGGAATGGGCTTCGAGCCACTGGTATGGAGTGAAAATGTGAGTTTCAGCTCCCCAAACCTACACTATCAGAATCTCTGACAAAAAGCAGATTTTACAAATTAGCGAAGTGGTTCTTGTAAATATGGAAGACCTTGTTTTTTAAAAAAATGTTTTAAGCATGCTAGGAATCAGCTTTCCGCCAAAAGAAAATGTCAAGGAAAAGTCGTTGGAGCAGTGTTTGAGCAATTTAAGGTAAATATTGGAGCAAATGAACCTAAAGAGTACCCAAAATTTCAGGAATGAAACTGAAAAAAAAAAAAAAATAACATGAGATAGCACTTGGTTCTTCAAAGTGACCGCTAACATATTTAAAAATCATCCGATTATTTAAGTTTTTATTGATGGATATAGCTTGATCTGTCTTTCCACATCCTTTAACTTGATCCTAAAAGTAGTAAAGGTACCTAAACTCATTGAATTGCTTTCCAGGCATTTCACAAAGAAGCAATCATCTAGAAATCTAGCATTCCACACCGCGGATTTGCTAGAATTCGAGTAACAAGCGGAATCCATTGAAGGCTGTTCTACACAGCCTTAAGTCCACCCAAAAGTACTATGTTTAGGCTCTTCCTCGAACTTCTCGTGCTTACCTATTACGTTTAAATAACCATAGAGCCATCAGTGCTTTTTTGTTTTGTTTAGCCTCAGTAACTTTACCATTATTGGATGGCCCTTTGTATATGCCGATAATGTTTCAGCGGAGTGTTGTGCATGTCTGTAATTCTAGCACTTTAGGAAGCTGAGGCAGAAGGATCACAAATTCAAAAAAAAAATTTTTTTTTTTTTTTGGGCTTTGAGATTCATCTCTCCAGGTAGTTCAGGTTGGCTTTAAACTCACCATGTGCTGGGATTATAGGCATGTGCCACTATGCTCAATACGAATTCAAATTTTTTAAAAAATTAAAAATAGCTGAGCATGGTGACAAAGGTCTAGTAATTCCAGCACTCAGGAAGTCGAAGCAGGAGGCTCACCAGAAGTTCAGCTTGCCTGTCTATCTCAAGACTCTATCTCAGGGGGAAAAAAATGATATTCTTAAATGGGAAGGCCCTGGGTGCAATCTCTAGTCCTGGAAAAACAACAAAACCCACCAGCAATACCACTTTAACAATGTTTTTCTTTGTTACAATGCATTACTTTTTTACAATATATTTGTTACTATTGTATAACATTGTAAACACTCAAAAGATAGTAAAGGCTAAGGATTGCAACACATGTTAAAATTGAATTTGAACAATACTCTTTAGAATGTCTTGCATTTTTTGTTTTATTTTGTGTTTATTATTATTATTTTGTATCTTTTTTTTTTTTTTTTTTGTCTTTTTCGTTTTATCGGTACCAGGGATCGAGCCTACCACTGCCTGCTTGCAAGGCAGGTGCTTGTGCTGCTGAGCTAAATCCCAGCCCTATTAGTTTATATCTTTGAGGACAAAATCTCACTATGTAAATGACAAGAGATACAATCACTTGTGCAACACTTACATTTATATGTTGTTTGTGTGAGACGGGTTTTTGTTTTGTTTTGTTGTCTTTTTGAGACAGTCTGTTTATGCAGTTCAGGTTGGCTTTAAGCTCACTTTGTAGCCCAGGCTGGTCTCCAACCTGCAATAGTCTTCCTGCCTCAGCTTCCTAAGTGCTGGGATGTCAGGTGTGTGCTACCACCCCTGGCTTTGAGACAGGGTCTTGCTATGCAGTTCAGTCTGGTGTTGAACTCACTATGTAGCTCAGGTTGGCCTTAAACTCATGGAGATCCTCCTGCTTTAGCATCCAGTGTGCTGGAGTTATAGGCTATGCCACCATGCCCAGCTAATCGGACTCATTTTTTTGGAGCGGGGTGGGACTCATTCTTAAAATGATGTGGTGCCATGCCTGTAATTCCAGCACTCAGGAGTAGAGGCAGGAGGGTTACCATGAGTTTGAAACCAGCCTGGGCTACACAGTAAATTCAAGGACAGCCTGAACTACATAGAAAAACCTTGTTGCCAAAAAAAAAGAAAGAAAGAAAGAAAGGGGAATTGGGGATGTAGCTTAGCAGTGAAACACATGCATCACGTCACATTTGAGGAAACTAGGTGAGCGATCTGGCACTAGAAAAACAAAACAAATGGAGCCTCAAATCCCTGGATGCCCTCCTGGTGTAACTTAATTTGGGAAGAGATAGACTTTGAAAGAGTAGTAATAGTAGCACTAGTAGAGGTAGTAATGGCAATAAATATATATATGAAAATAAAGTAGGGAAGAGGAAGTACGAATCTAGCAGTCCCTCATAATTCACAGTGGCTTTGCATTGAGTCCTTGAAGCCATACATAGTACTGACCCCTAAATATACTATATTTTTCTCATCCTTATTGCGATGTTGCTGTGTAGTATCAAAGTTCATCTTCCCTTCTCCACTTGATGCCCTAGTAACTATTGGTCTTGTCATTATTAAAAAACAGTAAAATTACTTGAACATGAGTGTTATGGTTTGAGAACTGGTGGTCAACTTAACGCCAGCTGGATTATATCAGCATGCATTGAGAGAAGATGCTTCATCACAGGAGGATTGCCAGGATAAATAGGTGGAGAAGAAGGGAGGTGTTGGAAGGGTTGAGGCGTTAAGGAGGCATTGTGGGTTCTCCTACGAGTTGCTGTCTGAGCTGTTGGTTCTCCTGGAGAAGCTTTGATCCTTACATCAAGCATTGTTTCCTGGCTCCGGAGAGGAAGATGTGCTGCTTGGTCTCCAGAATGAACTCGTCACGCTGCTTCCTGGCAGGTACCCAACTGTGCTTGTCGTTCGGAGGAGCTCGGGGCCTCCGTGTCACTGAGGACAGCTGTGGTGCCTTTCAGGATAGCCCTGCTCTTTGTTGTGAGTGTGACTTCTCAGCTCCAGTGTAGAACCCTCATCCCACTAGCACAGCTCCTTCATCCTGCTGGCATAGACTTTCTGGCTTCCACCACTGACCCTTGGGTCTTCCCTGCACAGATCCATAAAAGAGACTGATGTGAGTCCTTCTTGTGGGCTCTGGACCTCCAGGTGGACTCGTGGAGGCATTGTCCTGAGCTCTGGGTTTTTATCTGGACTCATGTGGGACATTGCTGTGGGATTTAGGCTCTTGACTAAATAATCTATGTCTTTGGTGTTGCAGATAGATTTCCTGCATTTTCCTGTGTTAACTTCCGGTGACCATTATAAAAATATTATAAACTCCGTGTTCTAATCCTAGTTGTTATCTGTGTACAACCCCTGACTACAACAATGAGCACAGTGATACCATCACAATGGATCTACTATTCAAGATAGGTACTGCTGGACAAAAGAATGGTTCATGTGCCTGACAGGACAGAGTGACAAGGCTAGAAATTTCATTACTTCTCAGTGGTGAAATTTTGAATTTATGATTTACGTCTGAAATTTTCCAAGTAATAGTTTGAGGTTGAAATTGCCTTTGGGTATCTAAAATTGCAGAAATTGAAACTTTGGCTAACAGAGACCTACTGTGTAGACTCTTAGGCCTCTACAGGATATGGCTCATACTCTCAATGAGATGATAAAACTGCTAGACCATTCTACGCAAAGAAGTATCATGACATGATTTATATCTATATCCTAGGCAGACTTGGGCAGAGTAATCTTTTGTGCCCTCATTATATTCATCTGTAAAACAAGGTTAATTATAGCACCTACCTTAACAGAATCATTGGGAAGTAAGCAGGTCAACATTTATAAAATGCTTAGAAAGGTAGCTAGTACATAGTAAGCATTACATAATTTTTTTAAAGCATAGAATAAGAGTCTTTCCAACTGTGAGGTTGGAAATATTGGTAGAGATACAAGCTTCAAAGTCAGGCAACTAATTAAAGGACAACTGCAAAGATCGCAAAGGAAGATGTTAAAAGGAACCAGGAATAGCACTGCAGGTGATGGAAGTGGTGCAAGATCAACCAAGAGACACACGCTGGCAGAATGAATCAAGAAGCATGATCCAACAATATGCTACCTACAAGAAACACATTTAATTCCAAAAGAAATTCATAGACTGAAGGCAAAGAATGAAAAACAATACGCCATGCCACACAAACACCACCCCTGCCAAATAGTGGTAGCTCTCCTATTTGTAGACAAAGTGGGTTGCAAGACAAGACTGATTAAGAGAGACAAAGGTCACTATATCCTTGTAAAGGGCACAATCCAAGGGGAAGAAATATTAAGCATAAATATATATGCACCAA